ACACGTGTGTGTGTGTGTGTGTGTGTGTGTGTGTGTGTGTGTGTGTGTGTGTGTGTGAAGGACAGAGGACAACCTCAGGTGTCGTACCTTAGGAACTATCCATCTTTTCTTTTGATACAGAGTCTTACTGGCCTGGGGCTAGCTTAATCTGGCTAAGCTGGTTGACTAGCAAGCCCCAGGGATCCTGACTGTTCCCACTTTCCCAGTTCTGGGCTTACAAGTGCGTGCCACCATGCCTGGCCCTTTTACATGAGTTCTGGATATCAAACTCAGGTTCCCAGCCTGATTTTTTATTTTCATCTCAACCTTTGGATGAGGTGAACCTCCCCAGCCCGTGAGGGCTGACCCAGGAGAAGAAAAGCCTTTTCTCGGCTCTTTGATCCCTTCCTTCTTGCACCTGGCACCATGTCTAATACATAACAGATTTCAATAAACTCTTATGAGTCAAAGAATTAATTAATGGACTTCTTGCTCTCTGTCAGTTGCTCTTTCCTATTATAGTGAGGGGGAGGCAGAGTATATCCCCTAAGTGGGAAAGTATCTACTAGAATCTACTGGAGATGGCACCGTTACCCCAGTTAAAGCCAGAATCTGGTCCCTGGCAGCCCTAACAAACTAGGCTTGGTCTTGTCTTTATTAGACCAATTGAAGAAACAAACAATGGTAAAAAGCAGAAAAAGGAGATTTATTCAATGTGGTCACATTGGAAAGGGAACATAAAGGTCCACTGACTCCCCAAGTCCGTCTTTGGGGTTTTCGGGTAAGGTTAGACTTAAACAGAAGGCAGAAGGTATTCATAACTAAGCAGTCCTGGCCGAGGTGTGGTCCTGCCCGTCACCCACCCATCATTGCTTCAACTTCAGTCTCTCCTGTAAGATGGTTTAACAAGTTGTTAAAATTGTATGAAATCTCCCCCTCAGGCTGGCACCAGGGTTTAGACTTTTTCTTTTTCAAACATGTAATTCTTGGGGCAAGTCCAATTTCTTGGGAACCATTGTTTCAATAGTCTAAGGGAGGGACACAAACGTTTTTGCTCCTTTCAGGATGGTTATAGATTGAGATAGAAGTGTGGAAGATCTCCCTCTTCTCACTTCTGCTGACACAAGAGTAAGAGATTTTCAGAAGTGTCCTTTTCTAGTAAGCCAGGGACAAGCAGGACACAGTACTATAGGGGCAGCCGCGTAACCTGACTCCTTACAGGTTGGCCACCCCAGCACTACTTCTGGCCCCTGGCTCTGGTCCCCTTTCTCCTCCTCCTCCTCCTCTTCCTCCTCCTCCTCTTCCTCCCCCCTCCCCCTCCCCCTCCTCCTCCTTCTGGTTCCATCCAAACAAAGGTTCTCAGATTACCAGCCTAGGCAGGTCTGGAAGGGCAGGTTCACAGGACTTTCAGGATTCTCTGTCATCCATCCTTACACCAGCCTGTTTCCTGAGATTGTGTCCTTGCTGGGGACACTCCCATGATTCTTTCTTGGATTTCAGACCATCCTCAGTAACTATGGGGGCAGTTATTGTTAATTTTAGAGACTAAAGAATTGTTTTTGACTGGAGAGAGTTCATGTGACTCAAAAATGTTAAATCTAGGACTAGAGCGTTAACTCAGTTGGTAAAGTGATTATCATGCAAGTATGAAGACCTGAGTTTGATCTCCAGTACCCACACAAATAGCTGAACATGGTGGTTTGTGCTTGTAATCCCAGCACTGGGGAGGCAGAGATGGAGGATCCTTGGGGCTCAAGGACCAGCCAGCCTAACTGAATCAGTGAGACTCAGGTCCCAGTGAGAGTCCTTGTCTCAAAGTCAAGGTCCCAGTGAGAGTCCTTGTCTCAAAATCAAGGTGGATAGCTCCTGAGGACCAACATCTGAGGTTAACCCATGGCCTCCACATGTACACCCAGTCATGTACACTTGCATCCATACCCATAGGCAGACACACACATGCACACACACACACACACACACACACAAAGTGAAACTTTAAAAAGATATGAGGCGGAGCTCTCCTGCTCCTGTATCCCAGAAGCCTAGTTTCCATCCCCTCCTTTTCAGAAGTAGATATTGTAACAGTAGCTTAATGAGTATTCTTCTAGAATTTCTTTCTCCATATGCAGGTCTATGTATAGATATGTGTCTGGTACCATGAATACCTTATTCAAGGTCCATAGACTGAACTGAACTAGGGTAGCTAGTGATATGACTGTAAGACAGTGTGTCCCTCTAACTTCAGGGAATACACTTGCTAAAGTGTTGTGATGATCTACTTAATTTCCAGTGACAGCTTCAAAGTTCCCCAGTCTCTTTCCTGGGAATGGAGAGGAGGACACATAGCCCTGTACGTTTCTATGTGATTTTTAAAGGCTGCTTATGCATTTTGTGTGTTTCTAAATCAAGGTGCCTCATGAATTCATAGCAACTGTGATTATCTGTACACCACCTGAGTGAGATCAAGTCAGTGAAGTGAAGAGTCTAACGTGACAGTGGAGGGGCTCACAAGGCCCCATCCCTTGCTTCAGAGCTATTGTCAGTTAATGGTAGCTAGAGGAATCATTTTTCTTTGCTGGTGTGGCCACTGGTAGGTTACCTATACAGGGTAGGTCTACTCTATTCTCTTATACCTCTGGAAACACCCTCATTGGCACTCAAAGGTGTGTTTCTCTGGTGATTTGAAATCCCATCAAGTCGACATTGAAGATTAACCATCACAAATACTGGTTCTACTGTGTGTCATTTGATCAACAGTACTTAGGTTTCCCATTATTAAAAAAAAAAAAAAGATTTATTTGTTTTTAATTATATGTGGGTGTGGGTGTCTGTGCCTACGCATGCACACGTGGTTGCCCTTCAATCCAGAAGAGGATGTTGGATGCCCTGGAGCTAGAGTTATAGGTGGTTGTGAGCCACTCGATGGTGCTGGGAGCTGAACTCATGTCCTTTGCAAGAGCAGTATATGCTCTTAACTGTTGAGCCATCTCTCTGACTCTGGCTTTCCCACTTTTGTACAAGCTTAGCTTCTTTGCCTATGGTTTTAAGACTTGTCAGTGGCCACAAAACCTATCGGGAAGCATTTTTCTCTCTCCTTGGTCAGAAACAGACTCCTTGCCTCATCCTACTTCAAAGGCTCCATCCCTGTGGGCCTGCCTTTGCAGTTGCTGTGTCCTGTCCCAGACATGCTTCCAGCCCTAGCCTTGAGGACCAGCAGTGAGCCACTAACTCTCAGCCCAATGGCTTTTACTGAGTTGTTTGTTTTCTTATCTGTGAGAACCCCTAGGATGTACTGGTAGAGTGGCCCTCTGGAAGCCTGCCATTAAATTCAATCAAAATGCTTCCTCTACTACCTGACATATTTCCTACTGTGGGAAAAGGATGTTTTTTCTTTGCTCACCATATGTTTGCAGCTTTTCAGGTTCTAGAAATTTGAGTCAGGAGTGTCTGTCTCTTCTGTCTCGATACCCTTGTGCTTGTTTTATGCACATAATGACATCTTGCTGAAATCTCGTTTATTCTTCAGTGACATGTGTGAGCACGTTGTGGGGCAGGGCGGGGGGGGGGGAGTTAATACCCAGCAAGACTGTCAGAAATTTGAGCATTACTCCTTAATAACCATAGCTGGTGGGAGGGATGGGCAAATGAGATCGCGGAAGCCAGAAAGACTTTGTTCCTAGGGAGTTCACTGGATCCTAGGAGCCAGTTTTTCTTGTTTTCAGTATTTTCACCTAGTCTGGATCAAATTCAGGACGAGTCAGTAGGAATGGTCCCAGTATTTGTCCCAGGGAGAAGAAGTCTGGTGTCCCAATCTCCATTTATTTAGTTACTTTTTTAGCACTTACAAAGCTTTAAAATTACATTGCGAATATATCTATTAACATGCTATCTAGATACACCATCCACCCAAGAGTAGAAACTCCATGACAGCAGAGACCTTGTGTGTCTTTTTCACCTTAGTGCCCCTGGTGTCAGAATAGTATGTAGAGCAGCTCAGTTCATTGTTGCCTGGGCAACCAGAAGCCTGATTTTCCCCACTGTGGTTCCCCTTTAAAGACTGCCTCAGTCCATCCACAGTGAGTGGTAACACCACCCCAACTTAGCCCTGCTGTGAATTTCTAGTCTGGGTGTCTCTGATGGATTTAGAGGAGAGGAAAGGTGGGATTGTGGGAAAACATGTTCAATCTGCAGAAGGTCTGGGTTTGAATCTTGACTCTTCCACTACTTATGCAAGGGGCTTTGGTGGGGGGCACAGTTTATCTGTACAGGAGGAATAATAAGTACAACATCTTGGCACACTTTAAATCCTTGGTTGAAGAATGTATGAAAGGACTGGAGACATGACTCAGTGGTTAAGGGCATTTGCTTTTCTCGAAGAGGACTCAGATTTGGTTCTCAGCACTCACATGGTACTCACAAACGCCTGTAACTCTGGTTCCAAGGAATCCAACGCCCTCTTCTGTCCTCCACAGGAACCTAGCATGCATGTAGTGCATACACATACATACATGCATGCAGGTCAAATACTCATGCACATAAAATAAAAACGAGTAAATCATTTAAAGCAAAGAAAATCAATTAAAAAGGAAATATGAAACACTTTAGACTATAAAGTTCTTTGCAGATGTGAAAGTTTGCAAAGTGGAAGTTGTTGTCATGTTCCCTTTCCATTCCCTCTCCTTTCCCTTCCCCTCCCCTTCCCTTCTCTTTCCTTTCCTTTCCTTCACATAAATCCAGGCCCCAAGGCCTGCCTTTGCCAACTTTGTTAGAGAGTCCCTGTGACTGTCCTTGTTAGGTGTCACTTTTGCAGTGTGGACTGAGGAGTGGGCCTCCACTTTGGATTTCCATCACGACAGTAACCTAAGAGAGGAGGACACTGTGGATCTAGGAGACAGTGCTCCTTCCTCAGTCCTGGCTTCTACCCTGGGCCACTAGTGAGCATGCTGTCATCTTGTACAAGAAGTGGTCACCAGGAGTTGTACCACACCAACATCTACTTGACTGTGTTTTTCTCTCCCCAGGAGGCTGCTGAAGAGTGAACTTGGATCATTCATTACAGACTATTTCCAGGTAACTTGGGTGGGTTCTAGCACCCATCATGCATGGGGTTCATGTACCCACATAGGTGGCAATACTGCACATCTGGACATTCCTTCAGTGGCCACAGTTGTATGTGCTGCAGTGGTTGCAGAGGGCTGCCAGGCAAGTAAGTGGTCCCTGATGTTAGGAGAGATCAGATTCCCTTGCAAAAGGATTTGGGCTTTTGGTTCTCAGGACCCATTTATAGTGTCAAAAATTGTTGCCCACTTTGGTTATAGCTGTCTGTCTATCCTGTATTAGAAACTCTGGGGCTGGAGAGATGGCCTCTGCTCTTGCAGAGGACCTGGGTTCGATTCCCAGCACCCACATGGCAGGTAACAACTGTCTGAAACTCTAGTTCCAGAGGATCCGACACCTTCTTCTGACCTCTGTGAGCATTGCATGACACAGGTGCACTTACATGCAAGCAGGCAATACACTCATATACATAAAATAAAAATAATAAAAAAATATATTTTAAGAAACTGTGCCTCAGACACTTTAAAATACATCTTTATTTAAATAGTAAACTAATTACCCAGATGCATAAATGACGTCTATGAAAAATAACTACTTTTCCAGAATAAAACAGCAGTAAGAATAGTGGCATTTTTAAAATTGTGATTGTCATTTTGTTTTGTTGCCTGTGTATGTGTGTGTACAGATAGCTACATGGCCTGCTTTCTAGAACATAGCTCTTTCTCTTGTATGCTTTTTATTCAGTGGGCTGGGCTATTGCTTGACAGGTACACTGTCCCAACCTAGAGCTCATGGGGGAAAAGGCCAGAGCAGCTTATTGTTACTAAGGGCAATTTTTATCATGTGGGTCCCCCACCCATCTCTAACCCCCTGACTCTCTGGGTGGTGTTTAGTTGGATTAGGTATATATGACCTTTAGCCAAATTATTTCTTGTAATGAAGCCTCCTGGTCTGTTCTGCTGAAGACAGGACTGGATCTGACAATCAAACTTCCCTTCTATCTACACATTGTTACAGGAATAAGAGTTCAAAGTCCCAGGTCCCTGTGGGGCACAGTTTCTAAGCCATAGACACAAGCTGCTTCCCTGACTCTAACCAAAGATGTGTGGGAGCTGCTGGGTGACAGTGAGTGACCAGTTGAGTTACACTTTCATCAAGTCAGTCCCCACTAAATGGTACTTGGGCAAACTGCTTTATCTCTGCCTCAGTTTTCTCATCTGTATAATGAGAATAAAAATATTGCTTACCTTATACAGTTATTATATGGTTTATAACAGTGGCAGAGAACTCAGAATTAGCAGGCGGCAGACAGCAGAGAGAAATGGTCAAGATCATGGGACTTACAGGCTGCCCAGGTTCAGGACCCATTATGGCCATTTACTGACTTCATCTCTCTGAGCAAGTTGCTTTATCTCTCAGTTTTAGTTTCCTCTTCTATAAAACAGGACCTAACCTTATAGGGTTATTAAAGGGATTAAATAAATTTTTATTTACAAAGCATTGACTGACTGGCACAAAGGCAGAAAGAATAATAGTGTTTATTAAATTTATGTTGGTTCCTGTGTATTATTCTAAAGCATAACCTATCCCTTTTGATCAAAAAGGAACAAAAATATGTATGATCATAGTTTCAGTTTGGTTTATATTATTTCATATCTGGTAGATTATAGTTTAAAATGTTTAAAGAGATTTTACTTTTTAGAAACAAAGACACTGCTTTGTTATTTTTGCACCCAAGTTTCAGGAAGGTTAAATTTTTATGTTCACTTATAAAGCATGACAAATGTCAGTCAGCTAAACATATGTGTATGTACCATATGTGTGTATGTGCTCACACAAACACTTGCACACACACACACACACACACACACATACACACACACACACACACACAGCAGGAAAGAGCAACTTGAAACTTAGACAGACCAAAACTCAACAGAAGTCTGGTATTCAGTCAGGGCATCGACTCAGCTACTTGGAAGATAGTATCTCTTGGGGGGAGGGTGGGGGAAGAAGGGTGAGCACTCAAAAGGAGGTGAAGAGTCCCGACTGTGAATCATCTCAGATGCCTTTAGCTCAAAGGTCAGCCTTGGCCTCACTCTCCTCCATGTGGTCTCTATCGATTGAGTTTAAGTACTGCCGGAGAGAAATGGTTTTTCCATCATTCCTGGAGAAGCCTGCTGGGCTGGGCTGTCTTCTGCCTTGACATTTGGAAGAGACAGGGTTGGTTGCAGTTTCAGTCAAGTTTTAAATGTCAGCTGTCTTTTGGTGGTGGCTACCCCTAGAGCAATAGAAAGGGCATGTCTGGGTGGGGACTTGTGTATGTGGGAAGTCCTAAGGTTTTGGGGGTGGTTAATACTGCTTATGAAGATGTCAGATACTTCAAAACTAATAACCACATGTCATTTCCTATCAGGATCCTAATCAGAGAAGCTGCTTACTGAACAGAGTTGTCTTCTTTGGGTGTGGTTGGAGACTAATTTTCAGAACTTTGAATCTGGACTTTCCTTATTTAAAATACTAGACTGGAAAAAGCTGTCTCGGATACTGTTTATTTAAATGTTTTTTTAAAGGTTTTAAGATTTGGGTGGATATACAATATTTTTTTTTCCTGGTGTTTTTAAGCATTTAGTTTCCCTTCCTATTTTTTTTAAACTTAAAAAAATTATTTATTTTTTATGTGTATGTGTGTATTGTCTGCACGTAGGTAAGTGCACCCGTGTCGTGCAATACCCGAGGAGGGCAGAAGAGGCTGTTGGATCCCCTGTGACTGGAGTTAGCTGCCATGAGGGCTCTGGGATTTGAACCCAGGTCTTCTGCAAGAACAAATAGTGTTCTTAACTGCTGAGCCATCTCTCCAGCCCCTCCCTTCCTGTTTTTATAGAGTATCTAATGGATGTTCAGTGAATGTTCATGGGTGAGCCGAAGGGATGGTCTACCATAGACACCAGAAGTGACATTTGGTGACCCACACAATGGCAGTGAATAACATTAGAGATCAGGATTAGAAAACAAAATGTTACTCTTTTTAATTTCCTTTTAGTGCTTATGATTATGTCAGAGAGTATTTTGGGCAGTCTTCTCCAGGATTTGGCAATCTCCTTTTTTTAAGGAAGAGGAAGCAGGCCTTTAACTTGGTGTTAACCAAGGGGTTAAGATTTTGTGGCGTTATTTTATTGGTAGTGAGTTGAGCACTGAGTGATTTTTTTCACTCATGATGAGTGATATTGCTACTGCTTCCTTTTAACACATAGTGACATTTTTGACAAGTAGCTTCATTTAAGAAAAATAGCACAAAAGGGTAACAGTGCAGGCGGCCTTGGCTATGGTTTCTACGCTGAGTATGCTTCAGAGGGGATGAGGGGGGAGTAAGGCTTGGGCTGGGCATTGCTGATGAGGCTGCTGCTTCCAAAGCATTCCCTTCAGAAGAAATCCCCACATGAGGGAGTCCAGCCTTGCAGAGGCAGGATCAACATTCCATCCAGCCACCAGTCTTACTTTTAGGGGGCAAAGCTGTAAAAGGCTCCAGCAAAGAACCAGGAGGATGATCTGGGGACAGATGAGGAGCAGAGCCCTGGGGTAGGCAGGGAAGTCCCTAAACCTTGGTTGCTCAGAAGAATGTGAACAAGCTCCTAGGGCCCTGGGCATCTCAGCATGGCGTCAGACAGCTACCCCTGGGCACCTGCATTTGGCAGTGAGATCTGTCCCTTCCCGGAACCCCACTCTCCCAGTCAGAGCTCAGTTTGAAAAGCTGTGCCTATGGTTCTGCTTTTGCAAGTGAGTGTTTTCATTTTACAACTTTAAAGAAAGAACATCTACAGTGAAGAATAGTGAAAATGGCCTGCAATGAGAGCAGGGGAAGCAGTAGAATATGCTGCTTATCTCTAATCTGCACACAGATCAAACGGGTTGTTTGATCGAGGATGCCTGGATAGATTTCCATGAGACACTGGTCAGAAAAATCTCTGACATTTCCAGTATTGATTTTTTTTTTCTTTTCCTCTGTCTGTTTTGAATTGTGCCTGGGAGGAAAATTGGGGTTTCCGAGTGGATGTCTATAGCCTAGTGACAGCTTAGAGGGACAATTGGCTCTCTATCAGGCTTGAAGCGGATGTCATAAAATGATCTGCATTTTTGTATTGCCTAGTTAGGTGTCTTGATGGTTGAGGGTGTCTGGGGGAGGGAGTTGCACACTGCACTTTCTCAGTTCTGCATCTGTGGGCTGCACTGTTCACTAAAAACCTTTCCCCAAGGCCAGAAAGTTCCATTTCTTCTGTTGGAACTAGAATTTTTCTTCATAAAGAAACTTAGGCTAGAGTCAAAGGCGCTGAGTGAGTTAGTACTAGGATGAAGGGAAACTCAGATACCTGGCTGTGTTTGACATACGTGTATGTAGATGAATGCGTGCACACACGTAGATATATGTATATCTACATACATATATCTATATATCTATATGTATATATATATATATATATACACACATATATATGTTTTTCTGTTTGCTGCTGGTATCTACAAGAACCCTGGGAAGGGACTGGTTGCCACAATGTCAGGGGACCATGTGCATGCTAGCTGCTGAAAGAGGAGACCCATGTGAGCTGTCCTGGCCACTGTGGGGTTTAAAATTGGAGGCAGTTGCAGGAATGTAGATGAATCTATACCAGCAGCACACAGAGTAGCATTGGCTGAACATTGAACACTGGAATGTTCAATGTCTCACTCTGTGAGACAAAGATAGGACTTATACAGACTTAGGATGAGTGGGATGGAGTTGAGAATAGTGTTTGTGATTTCCAAATCCAAACTGTATAGCGAAGAAATGTGTTTGCTTTTCTTTAATCAGTCTGGAAAGCCTTCTATAAGAAGCAGGGTTCCCCCACTAGAAAGGCAGATAATGAGGAGGCCGACTGGGAGGAAGGGGAATCCCACACATACTCAGCTTTGAAGGTTAAAAATGGGGCCAGTGCACAAAGAGGCTTTGATGGGGGGCGGGGCTGGTGAGGATTATG